TCCTTCTTCTTCTCCTCCTTCTCCTCCGACTTCCCCCCGCGCCTGCACGCCCACCCTCCCCCTCATTCTGCCACCCCCCCCCTCCTCCTCCTCCTCCTCCTCCTCCTCCTCCTCCTCCTCCTCCTCCTCCTCCTCCTCCTCCTCCTCCAGCGACGACGGCGACCTCCCCCGCGCCTGCGCGCCCTTCTTGTCGTTGTCGCGCCGCCTCTTGTTCGGCCGGGCGGCCGCCGCCGCCGCCATGGCCCCGCCACGGGCACCGGCGCGAGCCGAGGCCGCGCGGCGAGCCCGCGGAGGGGGGGGGGGGGCTGCAGCCCGGGAGGCGGCGGCGGTTCGGCGGCTCTGTGCGCGCCCCGCCCCCGCCCCTTGAACGAAGGATTGCAAAAAAACCCTTCGGCGAAGGCTTGCAAAAAAACCCTTCGTTTTTTTTGCAATCCATCGAAGGGTTTTGTTTGCAATCCAGGGTTTTTTTGCAATCCTTCGGTTTTTTTGCAATCCTTCGTTTTTGCAATCCTCCCCCGTCCCTGCCCCCTTGGTGGCTACGTCCTGCGTGCCCCGCCCCACCACCCCGTGCCCACGCCCCCAGAAATCCCAGGTTCCGACAAATTTAGGAGCGGGCGGTTTTTGGCCGCTCTCGGTTTCCAGGGGTCCCCCACGAGCACTGGGACAATCCCACATGATTCAGGGCGACACCCCACCCCAGAAAAGTTGTCCGGACCTTAGGGGGTCCACGCAGCAGGAAACATGGAGCGCTGGAAGTCTGGGCACACGCACACACACACACACACCCCATCCCTACCCACCCGCCACGAGGCAGAGGCAAGACTGTGGAGAAGGAAGTGGTAACGGGAGGAAAGGGGAGGATGAAAAGGAGGATGGGGGAAAGGGGGGCGAGGAGGAGGGATGCGGGGGTATGCGGGAGGAGCAGGTGAGGGGGGAGCAGGTGAGGGGAGGATGAGAATGATGATAATGATGATAATGATGATGATGATGATGATGATGATGATGATGGTGATGACGATAATGCTAATGATGATGGTGTTGGTCATGATGATAATGATGATTATGATGGTGGTGGTGATGTTGATGATGATGCTGATGAGAATTGAGGAGGAGGATGAGGATGATGATAATGGTGATGCTGATACTGAGTATGATGATGGTGATGCTGATGATGCTGATGACGATGGTGAAGATGATGCTGATGATGACGACGATGGCGATGATGATGCTGATGCTGATGCTGATGGTGCTGGCGAGAGTTCTTATGCTGCTAATGATGGTGGTGGTGATGTTGATGAAGAGGAGGATGATGCTGCTGATGGTGATGATACTCATGATGATGATGATGCAGATGCCGATGATGCTGATGGACATGATACGGATGACGATGACGATGACGATGACGATGACGATGATGATGATGATGATGATGATGATGATGATGCGGGTGATGATGATGATGACGACGATGCTGATACTGATGACGATGATGATGATGCTGATGACGACGATGATGATGATGATGATGATGATGGGGATGCTGGTAATGATGAGGATGGTGATGAAACTGATGACTATGATGAAGCTTAGTATGATGATGGCGATGATGACGATGCTGATGATTATGATGGTGATGACGATGGTAATGATGATGATGATGATGATGATGATGATGATCATCATAATGATGATACTGATGAAGGGGGTGATGCTGATGATACTGCTGCTGATGCTGATGATGATAATGATAACGACGAGGAGGAGGAAGAGCCAGAAGGAGGATGAGGGTGAGGATGAGGATGAGGGTGATGATGGTGATGAGGATGCAGATGATGATGATGATGAGGATGATGAGGATGATGATGACGATGGTGGTGATGATGATGATGAGGAGGCCCTCCTCGTCCTGATGTCCTCCTCCTCCTCCTCCTGCACCTTCCCGTCGTTTTCCTCCTCCTCCTCCTCCTCCTCCTCCGAAATCGAGTTGCTGGCCCTTGTCATGTCCCGACAACCGCACGGACGGAGGGCGGCTTCGCTGCAGCACCTGGCTCTCGCTTAAGCTTTCCTCGCAGCTCACTGCTCCATCTCCTCCTCCTGCTCCTCCTCCTCCTGCTCCTCCTCCTCCTCCTCCTCCTGCCCCTCCTCCTGAGGGGGGACGGGGAGGGGAAGGAGGAGGAGGAGGTGGAGGAGGAAATGGAGGAGAGGCGGAGGAGGAGGGCGTCGACGGGCGAGGGAAGGAGGGGCTCGCCTCAAGACTTGGTTCTCGCTTCGGACCTCCTCACACACATGCTAAAGCTGGACATGTTGATCGGTGCACGAATGGCGGCCGGACCGTTTTCAAAGTCTGGCCCTCCCGAGGCTCCCTCACAGATTGCTGTCTTGGAGCCCAGTCGTTACACTGAAAGGGAGCGGCTCTTTGCCAGAATCGTGCCCTCGCCTGAGACCTCCTGAATATTTCTTACCACGCCACCGAGCTTATCCAATAGTTCACCCGACGGAAAAACGGTCCGTGCTCGATGTCATGCGGTCGCCCCGGCTCCGTGTGCTGAAACGTTTCCGAGCGGGCCACTCTGAAGCTCACTGCGCCTTTGGCACAGTCACGCGGCCGAAGCCGAATACGACTATTAGACTTAGGTCGGGCATATCCCCCTACAGTCGAATTTTGGGCGAAATGCGATAAAACATAGAGGGTATTCCTAAACATGCGAAACGTCCCCTACATGCGAAATGCCATAAACAGAATGATCCTTTGGGCGGATTTGGGTATTCCTCCTGTAGAGGGACAGGCCCGACTTAACATTAGACTCGTGCGGTAAGCTCGATCGGGCTCTCGCCCGTCCAATCGCGCGCCTTCCTCTGGAAGGGGCCATCGGCTTCTGCTTCTTCGAGCCTGCCCGCTCTTCCTCTGGCAGGGCCCTCCCTCTCGTTCTCCTCCTCCTCCTCCTCCTCCTCCTCCTCCTCCTCCTCCTCCTGCTCCTTCCCCCCTTCCACCACTCCTCCTCCTGCTCCTCCTGCTCCTCCTCCTCCTCCTCCTCCTGCTCCTCCTCCTCCTCCTGCCCCTCCTCCGGAGGGGGGAGGGGGAGGAGGAGGAGGTGGAGGAGGAAATGGAGGAGGAGGAGGACTGGGCATCGCTCGGACGTCCATTCCCTGTGTTTCTGTTGGGTTTCGTGCGTGCTTTTTTTCGCCAAATGATCAAGGATGCTCCTCGATGGTCCTCGCCGAAGGAAAAATGCACACGTCCGAGCGATGCCGAGAGGAGGAGGAAGGGGGAGACGGAGGCGGAGGGCGTCGACGGGCGAGGGCAGGAGGAGGAGGTGCAGGATGCTCCTTCCTCGTCCTGCTCCCTCCTGCTCCTCCCGCCCCCTCGACCTCGTCGTCGAGGCCAAGGGGGGGCGGATGGCGACGGCGACGGCGACGGCGACGACGACGGCGACGGCGACGGCGACGACCCGTTGGGCCCCCCGCCTGCCGCGTGGGCGTGACGCCTCGCCGCTCGGCGCCGGGCGCGGCGGCGGGCGGCAGGCCGCCCCGGCTCGGGTTGCGTGCGGCCCGCTCCTGGCCGCCCCGCGGGCCGCCAGGGCGCCAGCGGGCCGCGAGGGCGCCAGAGGGGAGGGAGGAGGGGGGAGGAGAGGAGGGGAGGAGGGGAGGGGGGGAGGAGCGAGGAGGGGGGGAGAGGGGAGGAGGGGGGGAGAAGGGGAGGAGGAAGGGGAGGGGAAGGAGAGGAGAGAGGAGAGGAGGGAGAGGAGAGAGGAGAGGAGAGAGGAGCGGGGGGGAGGACCCGGAGAGGGAGAAGGGGAGGAGAAGGAGAGGAGGAGAGGAGGCGAGAGAGAGAGAGAGGACGGGAGAGGCTACGCCACGATACGATGTGCACACCTTGAGCCCCCCACGTAACTTGCGTCTTGCGTGTCCTGCTACGCTCATGGAAAACAACGAAAGCACGCCCACCACCGCCAACAATCTTTCACGGAGCTAGTAGGTGGCAGCCAGGTCTGTGCACCTCACACTTTGGACGACGTCCTTCTTCTCCTCCTCCTCCTCCTCCTCCTCCTCCTCCTCCTCCTCCTCCTCCTCGCTGCTCGCTCCTCTCCTGTGGACATGTCTGCCAAGCTAGGCGCGCTCGCGCCATACAGTCAAACATTGGTAGTAAGGACGCGCGATAAGGATGCAAGGGCCTTGGACGCGGTGCTGGGCATCGAAAGTGGTTGAGGATGGATCGAAGACGACCGAAAAGGGAAATAAGCAAGGGTACTGTTGGAAAGTCCATCATCCTTACTAGCAGTGTCGACTGGGTCTGACATCCTGCAGTCATCGCGGCTTTTCTGGCTATGGCGAACCTCGGCCACGACTAGACTCCCCGACTTGAATCTAAGGAACGACCCGACCATCGTAGCCCCAGGCTCCCCGACTTGAATCCAAGGGACGGCCCGAAAGCCAGAGCCCCTTTCTGAACTCGGAGTGGTCCTCATCTCAGCGTCTTGGCTGCACCCCTCACATCCCAGCCCTTCCGATGGCGCGGGCCTGCTCTTTTATCCGCCGACGCTCCTGAAGCCCCCATACGGATCCCATCGTGCCGTGCGCAAGCGCAAGGGCGAGCGCACACTGGAGGCGGAGGTGACGGATGAGCGGGAGAATGAGCAGGAGGAACAGGGAGGAGGATGAGGATGGAGGAGGACGAGGACGAACAGCAGCAGGAGCCGAGGCGGAAGGAGCGGGGGAAGCGGGCGGAGCAGCGGGGGCACCGTGGCAAGAACCGATCGTGTTCGGGTTCGAGGCGCACAGCAGAACGAGTCTACCCGGACCAGTCCCGTGTGGAGAAGCAGCGCGCGGAGGGGGGGAGCCTCACTCAGCACGAGCGCCCGGAGACAGCCAGACGAGTAAAGACCATAGGGCGGCACACGAGCGCCCGGCGGGGCCCCGGGAGGCCGAGCCCCACACGGAGCACCGAGGCCGACGAGAGCCGAGCCACCCGACAGCCACAGGTCCAGGAGGAGTCGCCGATCCCAGCCTCCGAGCCCTTCTGGGGCGCTCGAGACGACGAGAGCTGCTCGAAGGGTTCTTGTTCCGACTCCCACGCCTGCTTGGGCCAGAGCCTGGGCAGACATCAGACGACCCGCCCTCCGCGCTCCGTCCCTCCCTCCTGCTTCTCCCGCCGTCCCTTCTCGCTCCATCCCCTCTCCCTCCATCCCATCTCCCTCCGTCCCTTCTCCCTCCATCCCCCCCTTCTCGCTCCGCCCCTTCGCCCTCCGTCCCCTCTCCCTCTCCCCCCGCCCCTCCTCCTCCCTCTCCTTCCCCCTCCCTTCTCCTGCC